TGTTGGGGGCAATATGCTGACTCTGTAAACCGCTTAGAGAGGCCTGAAAGGCCTGTGAAGCGGTATATAAGTCTACTGTTATTGCTATTATTATTATTGCTATTGCTATGAAACGGTATATAAGTCTACTGCTATTTCAAGAAGCATCTCTGGTGGTGGTTATGAAGCACACATTGTTTATTGATGTTGGGACAATTAGCATTGGCAATGACAATGGATCCATTGTCATTGCCAGTGCCAACATAGCTTTTATTTGGACTTCTACTCAATATATTGGGTATTCTAAATAATTATAATTTTTTAATATTTACTAATGCAATTGTAAAATTGAGCAGAGCTATGTTTTCTATTACACTTACTTGACTTTTCTGTTATTATAATGAAGCATTTTATTTCTAGTAATAGCAATAGCACTTAGACTTATATACTGCTTCACAGTGCTTTCCAGCCCTCTCTAAGCGGTTTACAGAGTCAGCAGAAGTATCCTGCAGTACTGCATTCTAACTACTGTGTCACCACGGCTCCTAATACATCAACTATGTTACTGAATGCATGTTTAATTTTAAAAATCTGGGGGGAAATTCTTATGCTCTTGAATTTTTTAGCTACTTCCACAACTTCTGCTACCAGCACCACATGCACAGCTACTGTTCCTCCACAGCCACAGTACAGTTACCATGATATCAACGTATACTCCCTAGGAGGGCTAGCTCCACACATTGCTCTGAACCCAACTGTAAGTATCAGCTTTCCTGTGGGCTGGGATGGGTGTTACTTGTGTGTATTGGTGTTAAAGCTAGACAAGATGGATTGTAACAGCTGTTCTCTTTTCAGATTCCCTTGTTCCAAGCCCATCCACAGTTAAAGCAGTGTGTGCGCCAAGCCATCGAGCGTGCAGTTCAAGAACTGGTTCATCCAGTAGTGGATCGCTCAATTAAAATTGCCATGACTACTTGTGAACAGATAGTGAGGAAGGATTTTGCACTGGACTCAGAAGAGTCACGCATGCGTGTGGCAGCACATCACATGATGAGGAACCTGACAGCTGGCATGGCCATGATTACCTGCAGGGAGCCCTTGTTGATGAGCATTGCAACCAACCTAAAGAACAGCTTTGCCACTGCATTGCGGGTAAGTTATTGTTCACAAGAAAGGCTGTCTGGAACAAAGGGAGTTGAAAGTATTTTTAGAATGCAGTTTTGGCATTATATTTTAGCATTTTTAGGATGTACTTGAACGTTCAGGTCAATAGTTCTTACATAAAGATTGCCATTGATACTTTCAAGGGTATTTCAAAGAATGAGATTGGCCACCAAGAAACACCACGTGATTTGTTTCATCCTATCTTAGACTCATTAGATGTAAATAGCCAGACATGTAAGCCACAGAATAGTATCTGTCTACCTATGTCTGACAGATCCCAATTAGATAAAGTGCACAGGATATAAACTTGCATAAAAATAAGAGAAAATCCCACCACCACAAAAGATGGTGTGAAGGTTGCATAAAGCCTATACATGAGGAAGACCTAATGTAAAATTCCTATTCCTCTGCTCTGAGGGCTTAAGGGAAAATGGACTGTATGTACCAGTCTGATAAGATTGCATGTCTGATGAAGGCATATTTAAGTGAAATTCTTTAAAACGGCAGTGATTCCAGGAAGCTTTTAAAATTAACTACAATTTAAAATTCAAATAGCATGCAGAATTTAGATTAACTATGATTTATTGAAACATACCTCTTTTAGAGTATATTGAATTGGTTAGAAACAAATCATAATTAAGATTAAACGTAGTATCCTGCATTTGAACAAGAGGGTGACAGCAATTAATCACAAATGTATTTTGTATTAAAATAATTTCTGAAGAAAATCTCAACAATTAATACTTACTTACATCTGATGAAATTTATTGCGAATTGGAAAATCCTGAAATAATTTTATGCTGGGCATGTTATAATTAAATCATAATTTAATATATTGTTGGCATACAATTTAATTTTCCTACGAAGTCTGTAATACAGGATTTCTTAGAGTATGTGACCAGCTCAGATTAAGAAATGCAGAACATGTAGCCATTGTATATAAATTCATGTGTTTTTATCTGAAAACTTGGTATGGCTGTTTAATAGATGAAATTCAGCATGCAGGCAACTTTTCTTTAAAAGGAATATGGCAGCAGTATGCACATCCTACCATTTCAGGAAAGGATCATTCTGTTTGTCCTTTGAGGTCCATTGCTCTGGCAGCTCTGCTAGTTTCTGAAAGAAAATCTTCCAGTTTGGGAGCAGTTTGTTATAGCGCATAGTCTTTAAAATGTTTCTTGCTTGGTTTTTTGGCTACCTAGAAAATGGGCACAGCTTTGAAATTACAACTAATGAGTTTTGCATGAAGTCCATGGTATGGGAGGTTGTGTTTTGATACTGAGCCTATGTAAAATTTGATAGATTTGAGCAAAATTAGAAGTAATAACTGAGAAAAATGTCCATTTGCAAATAGGATTTCCTAATTGCCAGAGAAAATAGATGGAGTGTGTCATTGAACTCAATCAGTTCTTACAGATTTAATTTTTGATTCTCTATAACCAATGAGGGAAGAGATCTCTATCATAGAAAACACTCTGTGCTCTTAAGAGTAAGCTCCACTGAACTCTATCACATTGAACCCTTAACTTAAAAAGAAAATATAATTGGTTAAACAGACTTGTTCATGTTAAGCCATATAAAGTGAAGTCTGTAAGATGGGCACCGTCCACTTCTAATGTCTGAGTTTTTAACAGGCAGCTTCACCACAGCAGAGGGAGATGATGGAGCAGGCTGCAGCCCAGTTGGCTCAAGATAACTGTGAGTTGGCCTGCTGCTTCATTCAGAAAACAGCGGTGGAAAAAGCAGGTCCTGAAATGGATAAGAGGCTGGCAACTGTAAGTATCTGGTTGGTTTATGGCTCTGGCAATCCTATGTAGTCCTCCTGTCATTCACCTCTTTCTTTTTTCTTTAATAGGAATTTGAGCTCCGAAAACATGCCCGGCAAGAGGGCCGCAGGTACTGTGATCCTGTAGTTTTGACTTACCAGGCTGAGCGGATGCCAGAACAGATCAGACTGAAGGTGAGAAATTAGTCCTGCAAAGCATCTTGAAGTCTTCTACCTGTGAACAAGAAATTAGTGGGTGTCAAATGAAATTGCTCACCTACATACTGTGTTTCCCCGAAAATAAGGATCTTATTTTCTTTTGATCCCCGAAATAAGCGCTTGGCCTAATTTTTGGGGAGGTCACCTCACGGCTGCCGTTGTGTTGCAATATTTTTGGAGAGGGCTTATTTTCAGGGGAGGGCTTATTTTAGCCCATGTGCTCAAAAGCATGATTGGGCTTATCCAGGGAGGGCTTATTTTCAGGGAAACGGTATATTTTGGACATGATATTGTATTGTACATTACTTTTGTACGTTTTCAGTATCACATGTATTTTTGGTTACCTGCATATCAAAAAGTAGTGAATGCTTTTCAGTTAAATTTGTCTTTTAGAAATCAGGTAGAATTTCATTTCAAGACAATTCAAGAAGAAACCATTACAGCTTTGCAACTGCTCCAGCGAGCAATAGTACTGTATCCCCAAGCTAACAGGAAAGTAGGAAGCTAAGGATAAATTGTTCCTTAAGTGGCCATGCTACTTTCAGCCACAGTAGCCCAGGATAATGAAGTCTTGTCTTCTCTTGACTATGACTATGAATTCTGACCACATTGTACGTTTCCTACATTAGGTTAAGAGTACCAGGCTACCTCCTTAGGACATTTGGATTACCTAAGGAAAGTGGATTCATAGATATGCAAATATAAAGTAGTACAATGTTCTTGAGTAGCATGAAGCATCTTCTCATATATTTACCACGTCAGATATTTTATTTGAACTTCTCGGAGGATCCAGTTTCAAATGGTTTCAGCCCTGTCATCAAAGCTCAATTTTACCACAACATGTTGACACCAGAAGAGATCAGTAGAAGATCTGAGTTGATTACATTTCTCCATCACATTTCTCGCCATTGTTTGCAGGACTAAAAAAAATGCGTGAAACAGCAATCTGTCTTTATGGTGGTGCATTTACTGTTGTTGCCTCCCTGGCCTGCCCCTTGTGCAGCAGAATGAAATTTAGTGCACTTCACAATGGGGGAGACGGGTTCCCCTCCTCCTCCTGGAGCCCATTACAATGCAGAGCCATAATGCGACCCTGCTTCAGTGTGGGCTCACTCTTGCCTTCTGGTTGCTTTTTCTGCAGAGCCGTCTTTGTTGGGATGCCCTGTCTCCCCGCCAGCCAGCTGAGCTCTCAGCAGACCAGCTGAGCATAGGCACGCTGCTCCTGGCCTTGTTGGCCTTCAGACTTCAGATTCCCAACACCTAGCACCAGTTCAGGGATTCTTCTCCCCCCCCCGCCCCCGGGTGGAGAGAGGGCGGGAGAGAAAGAGAGAAACACAGAGAGGCAGGGAAAGGGAAAGGGAGAGGCAGGAAAAAAGGGAGAGGAAGAAGAGAGAACCAGACAAAGATGGAAAGAGGGAGGAAAAGAGAGTGGGGGAAAGGGAGGGAGGGAGAGAGAGAAGGGGAGGGAAAGAAAGTGGAGAGAGAAGGGGGTAGAGGGGGAAAGAGGGAGGGAGAGCAGGGAAGAGGAAGGGAAAGAGAAACAGGCAGAAGGAAAGAGAAGGGGAGGGAAAGAAAGGGAGAAAGAGGGAAAGAGAAACAGGCAGAGAGACAGGGAGGGAAAGAAATGACATTACAGAGGTTTTTTCAGTTTTTTATTGTTACTAAACGTAATATTTCAAAAACAGAAAAAAATGAAGGCATAAAAGTGCATTTATCATGTTTTTCTTAGAACAATTGCTGAACTCTGCCTTGTTTATCATTATTTTAGGTAGTAAAACCTCAGTATTCAGGTTTAATTGCAGTGTTGGCACTTTGCGATAAATAAGTGGGTTTTGGGTTGTAGTTTGGGCACTCGGTCTCTAAAAGGTCACTATCGCAGTTATTTTCCCAGCCAGTTGGTTAGAACCGCCACCACTCCCTTTTAATTCCAAGGTCTCTTGACGGATTTTCGCAGCCGGGCATTATTTCCTGATCACCCAGGCTAGCCCTTCCGCCGCTAATTGTCTCGTTTGGGCACTGGGAGATCAGTAGGCTGTTCTTGAGCTTCCCTCACAATTTAAAGAGCGCAGCTTGTGATTCCGGTGTTTGGAAGATTGGTCCACCATCTTCAAGCCGTTTCAGACTGTGTGGGTGTCTTTCAGTGCTGGGGAGCTGGTACGCCACTCTCACGGCCTTTTTGTTTCCATTTTGAATTTTGCGGTTGTTTTCTTGGAGCCAGAAGAGCTGTTATGTTGCTCAGATGCCATTTTGGTTTGCAAAACCAGTCACAAGTTCAGCAGCATTGGAGGAGGTAGCATCGCTGAGTTCTCATGACTCTTTCATCGGATCAGATCAGTGCAGACTTTCTTATCGGAAATTCAGACTTTATTCTTTATTTCTGTGAATTTCCTGGTTGCGCCTATATTATTGAACCTCTAGCCTAGTGGAGCCATCGCAGTGAGTGTGCGGCTTTTGAAACCACAGGCCCAATCCGTTTGGTCCTGTTGCAGGGAGCCTGTTCCAGGTTTCTAGTGCTGTCCTGAGTATCCCACATGCTACACATGGCAGATCAGGCTATTTCCACCAGCGCGGTTAGAGCGGAGGCTTCTCCCAGGAGTCTACCGCCTACAACGGCATCGACTGCCAGGGTGGACAGGCCTACTACTAGGGGCACAACCAGCAGATCCAGGACCAAATCCAGATCTGCTGCTGCTCAGAATGATGCCAAACGTAGGCAGCAGGCATTGGAGAAACAATTCTCCAAAGCCACAAGAGGAGCAGAGGCCAACAGGCCCCCTCCAGCATTACCATTGGAGTCCTTGCCCTCTCTTTCGATCCAGGTGCCTCCTCCGGCCCTAGAGGCGACTTGAGATTGATAATATCAATATTCAGGGCCTTCAACAGAGGATGTAGGTTTGGGCCCTTCTTCCCCTCCGTGCCTATCTGCATTGGATCTTGGCCCTGAGTCAGTGGCCAGGCACCCCACACCTGAGGCCATGTTCACTCCCACGGCAGCAGGGCTCCATTCGGAGGACAGTCAGCTTATGAGTCTTCCCAGGAAAATCAGGAACCTGATTTCTGTAGCCATATCACAGGAAGTAGATTCTGAGCTACAGCGTAGGGCAAGGCCTTCCCTAGGTCAGTCTAGGTCACTTTCAGCTCCCCTACGGGATCCTTCTTCATTGCCATCACTGCGTAGCAAGGCTTCGCTTGCAAAAGAGGATTTGGGAGAACAGGAATTATCAGAAGGTGAAGGCCTGACTCCTGACAGGCCCACGTTTTCAGAGCTTTTCAGGCCCACTTTATTCAAATTTCTTGTTATTCAAGGCCAGGGCTATGGCCAATACAGGTACTCCAGTTAAGCCATCGTTGGGATTGGATCCTACGGAGTGGCTGTTCTCTGAGCCAGTCCTAGAGCAGGAGGCCATACCTTTCCCAAAACTGTTCCTGGATGTTACGAGATAGAGTGGTCCCAACCCGCGGCCATTCCTCCCCCTAATAATAATGACCAGAGATTATAAGGGCCAGGTCTGGATCTGGAGCGGCTCCTCCAGATTCCATTTGTAGATACTCCAGTGACTGCTCTGACCTCCTCTGCCATGGTGTCCTCGGATGTATCAGAAGGGTTGAAGGCGGAAGATTGGAAAGCAGAGTTGACTCTCCACAAGATGAATCAGGCGGCTGCCTGGGCAATCTGTGCGGCAACTCCTGCATCCTTGTTCAACAGAACTTCCCTCATCTGGCTTAAGCAGCTGAGGATATGCGTCTACATCAAGAGGTAAACAAATTAGTAGCAGCTGTTGAGTTCTCTTCTGAGGCAACTCTTAATGCAGCGAAGTTTGTGTTGAGGGCCATGGCATCCAATGTCACTTCCCGACGCCTCCTGTGGCTATGACACTAGCAAGCGGACATGTGCTCCAAATGGCGCCTCGCTGCTGCACCTTTTAAAGGGGGAAAGCTACTCAGGGAGGCTCTGAATCCCATTCTAGTTGAGAATAGGAACAAACACAATGTGCTTTCTTTCATGCATGGGCGTGCCAACCGAGTACAGTTGTATTTTCGGCAGCAGCCCTTTTGGGCAGAGTCGGGGTTTACTGGACCTCATAGGTCCTATTACCAGGGTCCTGATCGGCCTCAGGATAGATCAAGATTCAGAGATTGAGGTAGACAGCAACAGCAGCCACCTCAGATGAGGCGGTNATTGTCTTTTTTGAAAACAGAAGGTGAATTGCATCTATTCAGGACAGAATCAACCCTACTGCAGATAATCTTTAACTTAAGACCACAACTGAGCCCAAAATTTTCATTGCTAGGCAAGATAGTTAAGTGAATTTTGCCCCATTTTACTACCTATTTCCCCCTAGTTGTTAAGCAAAATGCTAATTGTTAAGTGAATCATTAAGCAATTAAGCATTAACCAATACTGACTTCCCACATTACCTTACTTGTCAGAAGCCAGCTGGGGAGGTTACAAATGGTGATCCCATGACCCTGAGATAGTGCAACTGTCATAAATACATAGCAGTTGCCAAGCTCCTGAATTTTGATCATGTGACTCTGGGGATGCTCCATAGGTAATAAGTGTGAAAATCAGTCATAAGTCATTTTTTTCAGTGCCATTGTAATTTTGAATGATCACTGAATGGTTGTAAGTTGAAGACTTACCTTTATAGGTTTTGTGGGGCTTGTGCATCATAAAAGAAGTGAGTTGTTAACTATTTCATTATATTCTTAAAAGATATAAAATCCAGTCTGAAGAGAGAACTAATTTTTTTCTTCCAGAAAATCCATTAAGAAATGCTTTTTTCTTCTGACAGGCGGTTGAAGGATTATTAGATGCCACCAGTGGTGCAGATGCAGATCTCCTCCTCCGGTACCGCGAATGTCATTTGCTTGTATTAAAAGCCCTGCAAGATGGCCGTGCCTATGGCTCTCCCTGGTGTAATAAGCAGATAACAAGGTCAGTCATCATCATGATGCGGGGGTGGGGGAGTTTTGAAAGATCATCACATGGTTTTTACATCATAGTTTTCCCAGAAAAAAAGCCAATGTCGAAGAAAAAGTATCAGGACTAGGATTCATGCACCTTCAAAAGACAATCTCTATAAAATAAATGCATGAAGCTGAAAAAGTATGTTGTTTTGAATATGGGATGAAACGGTCCAGTCAGAAGGTCCTTCTGTGTTGAATTTAGTCAAACAAAAAATGGAGCAAAGGTGTCATAGGCTCTTTACTGTAGAATAAGTCTTCAAAATGTTTGAAGCTCCTATTCCATTACTGACCCATAGAAAACTTAATTTTAAAAAAATCGCTCTTTTAAAATTCCTATAGGATACAATAAGAACAATTTAAGCAAAAAAGCAAGCCCCACATTGAAACACAAGCTTCTCTGGCTATGAGACTGTTAAAAATTCTTTGTTATGACATTTTTAAAAGTACATCAGCAATGTTCCCTCTAAGATGCACGGCTGCGCACAATACAAGAAAACACCACACAGAAGTTTCAAACTGCCGCACATTGTTTTTTAACGCCTTAAAATATGACTGAAAATATCCCCCCTCCCTCTCTCTGCACCAAACTCTCTCCTCCATCTGGTGATTGGTGAAATCAAGGAAGACTGCCCGGAGACCGATGACACTGCAGAAGGGAGAATTTCCATTAGTCCTCTGCGGCTTCGTTGGTTCCTGGGAAAATGCGATTTGCTGGTTGTAGCCTGCGTTTCTCTGCACATCCAGGGTTTCTCAGGCATTGCGTCATCTGGAGCCCCCTTCTGGNCACACACACACACACATACACATACACACTTCCTATCATGTCCTGGTTTTATTACCACTGTGCTCCCTCTCCCCCCCCCCTCTCTACCTAGATGCTGATCCCTAAGCCTCCAGGCAGTGTTTACTGGTTAGCTTTTATGGCTGCTTCTGAGAGGGTCTCACTTTTTCTTGTTGGAAACCAGCATCTTTCCCCATAGATTTAATTCTGGGTGGTTTCTTTTTATCTCTGACATCCAAGGACACACTAAAAGCTCTGTTATCAGGGTCAGTAGAAGTAATAAGAACTTGTGTGGAACAGATATCCTTCTCATCCAGCCATTTTGTCTTCTCAGTTGTTTTAAATAATGTACTGATTGATTTTAGATAATGTTTTTCTTATTGCTTTTTCTTGTTTTAATTACTTTAAATTTATTTATTTAAATTAATTAAAGAGCCACACATCCCACAACAGTTTGTTATTGATTATACTTGTTAACTATTCCAAGCACCATATATTCTTTAGGCACCACCTGACTGACTCCAAACCAGTCTTGTGACTCTTGGCAGTCAAAATATTTTAAAAAACAGAATAAAAAATAGGGAAATATCAGCCTGACAGAATTTATGTTCTGTTTCCACACTTGCAGAAGTCCCATCCTGGCCTTGCTTTGCCCTGCGTCTGACTTCTGCAGTGAGCAAGTTGCCTGCGGGCAGTTCTAGCATGTTCTGGGCTGCTGCTGTTTACGATATCTGAAAGTGTCAATTTCGACTTCAGGATAATTTCTGAGGTCCAATCTCCTCCCACAGATTTTCATGGCATTTCCAAAGCTAGCAGAGAGTGGAGAGCTTAGGGATAGCAATATAGTTGAGATGCCCTTCTGAACCTAGCAGCTCTGATGATGGTGGCTTCCTCAATGCCAAGATGTAGACCCTGAGATTTGAAGAGATGAAAACTTTTCATTTCCAGTCTTGGTGTCTTCATTTTCTTTCTTCTCCTATGGAGACAGTTGGCCAAGGTGGATTTGACCCCAACACTCAGCGGGCTCTATTTCTCCAACCCTGGCCCTGGCTCCAAAGCTGCTTCTGTGACTCTCTGGTCATTAAAATCTGCTCAGCTGAAAGCTTTTCCCTCTTCATGATGGAGAAGGAAATTTTTGATATCAGCATACTGTTAGAAAGTAAGTTATTTGTCTGTACCACAGTGTCCATTCAAACATGGGCCTTATAGATTCAATAACTTTTCCTTTAGACACCATGATTCATCAAAGCAGAATCTGATATTCTCTGCCTTGTTCCAAATAGGACCTAACTTTTTTAAAAAAATATTCAGGTTCTTCCTGGAGCAATAAAGAGACACTTGATAATATGTATGATAATAAATAATGATAAAATGTTTATCATAAGTGTAATAAGTACAAATGAAGACACCATACGGAGCAATACATTAAATATTCATTATGCACCTATAAAACAGATAGTCAGCAGTTAACATATAAATAGAGAACCAAAACCAGAGGAGATACTTCATATTCCAAATACTCTTTGGAATAATTCTGTTTTTAATAGCTTGCAGAAAACCAACCAGGTGGAATCCCTTTCTTGCCTGCTCTTCTGCTAGTTGCCTAAGACCTGGAAATTGTCATCAGGCAGATTGAGCTTGGTGAGTGATGTGTACTGTATACATGTAATACAGAGCTAGATTTCTAGCAATAATACAAACTGCAGGCCTCTACTGATGCTGTGTATCTTTTGCTTTCTCTTCCTCTGTGGACTTGTTGAAGAAGTTGATTGTAAAGAAGTTGTGTTTGAAAATTGGTGTATGTTTTGCTTTTAACCCCCATGAAGCAAAAGTTGTGCATATCTATTGGAGTATTCTTTCAACTGCTGTGGGGGCTGGGAGTGTAGCTCTCCTGCCATTGCTGAAATGAAAGTCCCAGCAGCCTCTTCACCATCTGCATTCCCTTGTGCGGCTGGGAAGTTGTTATTCACTATATCATTTGTCATAGTAGAATCATGCTGAAAGCAACTGCTCAGTTCTATAGTATTTGTGTGAAAGTAGCATTAAATATACCTGAAAATAGCAGGAAAACGTGTAAACTAGAAAGATCTGCTCTTAAAGTGATAAATTTTAGTTGAATATCTTTATCAGTAGATTCTGCAGTAACTGTAGTCTCTTTTCCTGAAGTAATTGCAAGCAAGAGTAATTAAGAAATCCACTCTCAAATATAGGAGTTTGAATCTTGATGTGAATACAGCTGTGGAAATATTTTACTGACATTCATTATTTGTTTTTTAAGGTTGGTGGTGTGGACCCAAAGCAGCTAGCTGTATATGAAGAATTTGCACGGAATGTTCCTGGTTTCCTGCCAACAAATGATTCAAGTCAACCAACAGGAATCCTGGCCCAGCCTATGAAGGTAGCTGTCCATTCGAGTCAGAGAAGGCCGTTCAAGGTCTTATCCAGTGGCTTCTGAAGAATAGTGCTATTCTTCAAAAGTCACATACTACAGTAGAGGGAAATATAAAAATCATGTATGATCTATTAAAGCAAGGCCTTCAAACTTGGCAACTTTAAGACTTGTGGACTTCAGTTCCACAAGTCTTAGTTGAAGCCCACAAGTTTGAAAGTTGCCAAGTTTGGGGACCCCTGTATTAAATGCTTAATGTTTATCCATTTCATAGAATCACTGAATGTAAGAGTTGGAAGGGGCTTTGAAGATCAGCAGTGTCCATTTGAACAACAATATTTTTGAAGATACTGATAGATACTGCTCCTGATGCAAACTAATCCAAAGGCATTTTTTTTAAAGCAAGCATTTAAAATGATCGTTCCTCAGTGATCTGACTGCATCTTTGGTTCATCCCAATATAGCAAGCCTGGGCAACTGATGACGTGGCACAGATCTATGATAAATGCATGGCAGAGCTGGAGCAGCACCTGCAGTCTGTTCCCCACACTTTGGCCATGAATCCCCAGACCCAAGCTCTGCGGAGCCTTTTGGAGGCTGTCGTTGTGGCTCGTAATTCTCGAGATGCTATTGCAGCCCTTGGATTGCTACAGAAGGTATGTGCATAAACTCCAGGTTAAACATGGTCACTTTTTTGGGGAGAGAATAGTTGCTGAGTCTCCATAAACATAGTGGAGTGCAAGCACCTCTAAAAAGATGATAAGGATATGTCCCTACAAAGTCCCTATCAGAAGAATCAGGGAAGACAGCTTCCTACCTGTTCTTAAGAAGAACTCCCATTGGAGGATTTCCTAGCAAGAAAGCTGGAAAACTAGCTGCCTTTGGTTGTGCTTGGTCAAATTTCCATGGTGGCTACAGTTACAAGCAGAGAGGATGGTCTTAATACGGGACCTGGGAATTATTGGTTGGCTCCCCTATAATTAACATTTCCTCACTTTTTTTCCTTATTAGCTGTGTCTTTTATAGGGTTTTTTGTAATAGTAATGATTACTGTTTTACTATTTATTAATTTAAACATTTTAGCCTTGTTATACGACACCCAGAGTTTGTGAAATGGATGACTAGATAAGATGAGAGGTAGATCGGTAGAGTCTTCATTGGTGGACTTTTCTTTCCAGTGAGCCGCTTACCAGTCAGACTGAAGTTACTTAATCAGCCTATTTATTTATTACATTTTACTTGTTTACATACAACCTTAGATTCCGGCACATCACCTGCTGGTGCTACTACTAGTAATATTAACTTGTCTGCCATCTCACTTAAGTGTTACCCTCAAGTGTATAAAATGTTGAAAAGAATTCAAACCCAGCCTCTTTGGTAAAGCCAGTTGCTTTCCTCAATAAATGCAAACATTGTCCATTTTTGAAATTATCTACTATCTGCTTATAAATTGCTTGATTCTCCTGTGCGCTGCTTGGAGAATCCAAGCATGGGTTAACTTTTGCCCCTTTGCCTTCAGACTGAGTTAGAAAAGTCTTGGCCACACCTCCTCTGGCCGAAAGAGTGCAGTTTTTTAACTCAGTCCAGCCTAAATAATTAAGCTCTAGCTATATTATTTAGGTTTTAATTTTTTTACTAGGTTTAGGTTTTAATTTGAGGTATTATATTTTTATTTTGTATTGGTGATCTTTTCCTGTGTTGTGACTATGGAATTATTGTCTACTCCTTGGATGCGGGTCAGTGTGCTTGTTTCCCCCAGTCTGCCACTACCCAGGCGCATTTAGAGAGAAACAGGAATATTCCTTGCTTCTCCTCGTCATTTGCTTTGTTTGATTTTTGTTACATACTCGATCACTTGGGCTGAGCTCTCTAGTGCGGACATGGTCCTCGGTGAGGCTGGTGTAACCGCTACCCTGCTTTCATGCCAACTTTTATGGCTCTGAGATTGTGAGGAATGTGAGGTTGCTCCCAGCATGGGATCGACTCTGAACAATGCAGTCCTCTTTGTGGAGCTCTTTGGATTGTTTTTTCCACTACTCTGACCTGATTCTGTAAAGAGGTTTGGAGCAGGAAAGGAAAAGAGAAATGAAAGGAAAAGATGAAAAAGGGAGGGGAAGGGAAGGGAAAAGAGAAAGGAAAAGGAAATAAGGAAAAGAAAGGAAATGGAAAAGAAGGAAAGGAAAAAGGAAAGGAAATGGAAAAGAAGGAAAGAAAATGGAAAAGAAGGAAAGGAAAAAGGAAAGGAAAGGAAGGAGAAAGGAAAGGAATGTCCTCAAATCTCTGCATATTTCATCCTGACAGAGTTGTTTTGTGGCTAGACGCCTCCTTCTTGCCCAAAATCAACTTGTGGTTTCACAGGGCACAGGAGGTTATTCTCCTGAACTTCTGCCCGCAACCTGTCCACCCACGCAAGAGAAGGTGGCACCACATCGATGTGAGGTGGGCTCTACGTCGGTACAGCATCCTTCTGAAAAATGGAATCGTTATTTGTCTCCTTTCAACCTGCGACCATCGGGCAGGTGTCATCCAGCATTGTGGGGCATTGGTGGAAGGCCTGCATCACCCAGGCCTATGAAATCCAGGCTAGGCCAGTACCCAGATGTATAACGGCCCACTCCACCAGGAGTACAACTACCACGACTGCCTGGGCAACACAAGCTTCTGTGAAGGAGATATGCAGGGCGGCGACTTGGTCATCTGCATCACCCTTCATTAAACATTATAAACTGGACGTGTTTGCCTCCGCTGAGGCATCATTTGGGCAACNGAACTGCAGTCAGCTGAAGTAGCCTGCAGTGCTGCACTTAACCACTGCGCCACCTCAGCTTTGAAAGTTATTGCTGTGCGGCAGGTAAAGCTTGTGGTGGTTTTATTATTACCCCAAATGGTTTTGTTTTAGCTGTTTTCTGTCCTTTGTGGATGGCTCAGCTAGAACTGATTTGCTACTACTACTTGCTGACCTCCTCGCCGCAAGCCAAGACATGACCTATGTCTGCTTAAGCTGAATAGACATGAAGCAGAGATTAATCAATCTTTGCCTGCTAAGAGTTAGAAGAAAATTAAATTAACATGAGAAAGTGACAATATTTTCCAGATGTCTGATTGAGTGTCGAGATGAATATAAATACAACGTAGAAGCAGTGGAGCTCCTGATTCGTAACCATCTAGTTAACATGCAACAGTACGACCTTCACCTGGCTCAGGTGAGTTGTTGACATTGGCTTTCATTAAGACAATACAGATGCTCTGGGGTGGAAATGGCTCATTCTTTTTGGCATCTATGCTCTTTATAGTCCATGGAGAACGGCTTGAACTACATGGCAGTGGCGTTTGCAATGCAGCTGGTGAAGATTCTGCTGGTGGATGAGAGAAGTGTGGCTCACATGACAGAAGCAGATTTGTTCCATACCATTGAAACTCTGATGAGGATAAATGCTCACTCCAGGGGAAATGCTCCAGAAGGGTAATGCTCAGGCGTTTGTGTGTGTGTGTGTCCAGAGAAGCTGATGGCTGTTTGCAGAAATAGCTGCTCTGTCATTCCCACCCCATGTTCTTCCTGGGTCAGGAATGGCAGAGAATGCTATCCTATCCGATCTGGAATCTGTTTAGGCTCACTGTGTTGTCCACAATACTTAATACAGATAGTCATCACCTTATAATAGTTCATTTAGTGACCATTCAAAGTTAAAATGGAACTGAAAAAAGTGAATTATGTTTTTCATCCTTATGACCATTCTAGCCATAGTCTCGTGATCAAAATTCAGATGCCAGACAACTGGTTCACATTTACATTGCCCTAGGGTCCTTTTGTGATCTTCTGATGAGCAAAATCAATGGGGAAGCCTGATTTTCTTAACAACTGTGTTACTAATTAACAAATGTCTCTCAGCAACAGAAATTTTGGGCTCAATTGTCATAATTTGAGAGCTAACTGTTATTATCATTCATGCATTTGACTTAGTTAATTTGTCAATTTCCTTTGGAAGAAAAAAACAGGATAATACAGGTAGTCCTTGAGTTACAACAGTTCGCTTAGCAATGGTTCAAATGACATCACTCCCAAAAGTACTTACGACACAGTCCCAAAGTTATGAATGTTGCAGCACCATGGTAGTTGTTATCCTTACAACTGACCACAGAGAGACTGCAACATTGCCCCTGCCTATCCCCCCCCCCCCCCCCCNCTACTTTCTTCAATTTAAGCCTAAATTTTGCAACAAGAAGCTCATGATCTGAGCCACAGTCAACTCCTGATCTTGTTTTTACTGACTGTATAGAGCTTCTCATTTTTGACTGCAGAGCACATAGGCAATCTGATTTCTGTGTGGACCGTCTGGTGATGTCCATGTATAGAATCATCTCATGGGTTGTTGGAAAAGAGGGTTTGCTATGACCATCATATTCTCTTGACAAAATTCTACCAGCCTGTGCTCTGCTTCATTTCTCCAAGGCCAAATTCGCCTGTTATTTCAGTTATCTTTTGGCTTCCTACTTTAGCATTCTAATCCCCCATGATGGTGACATCATTTTTGGTGTTAATTCTAGAAGGTGTTGTAGGGCTTCATAGAACCGGTCAACTTCATCCTTTTCAGCACCAGAGGTTGGGCCATAGACTTGGACTACTGTGATGTTAAAGGTTTTGATGATAAGGTTTTTCAAACCAAAGAATACACTAAAGCAGAAGCTTATCCACCTCAAGGATAAAACAGATAGAAACTGAGCAACGTGGTATATGCAGTACAGTGCAGCGAGCCATGTGCAGATCTGTAGATTGGGGAAACAAAACAACCACTTCATAAACGCATGGCACAACATAGCAAAACAAACACATGAGGACTAGATTCAGCAGTCCACCTGTATTTAAAAGGCAAAGGCCACTCTTTTGAAGACAAAAACGTTTTGGACAGAGAGGATCACTGGTTTGAAAGAGGGATTAAAGAGACCATTTTTGTCAAAAGTGAACTGCCAGCCCTCTCTCAACAAAGGGGGAGGGATGCAACATCATCTATTTCCAATCTACAACATGGTCCTTTCAACAGTTCCTAGAAGGCTCCAAACCCATTTGCACCACATAGATGACCCTGACGACACAGATAAACCTCCAGGTGGTTTTGACAAGTCACTAAAGAATGCAAATGACCAGTTGTCTGCAAAGAATATAAATCCTTCCATTCCCCACCATCCAGTCAGAGCTGAAGAAGCTTCTTGGATGAGAAGCGAAATGTTTTCAAAGAAAAACCATACAGTTCAGTTGCCTTGAAAAAAGCACCTTTGGGACAACCATGACCAGGATGCCTGAGAATCTCCATAAACATTTAGTTAGTTATAGTATCTTTCTGTTTTTTTACTTCCTCTGAATCCTTCCTGTGAAGTCACAACAAATGACATTAGCAATAGCAGTTAGACTTATATACCGCTTCATAGGGCTTTCAGCCCTCTCTAAGCGGTTTACAGAGTCAGCATATTGCCTCCAACAACAATC